AGTTTTCCTGTATCCGGTACGACAATAATTTCTGACAGTGTGTAATTATTATTGTTTCACAGTGTACTTAACCCCTTGCGCAGATGACACACGGCAGTGCACTGTGGCGGGGCCGCTGCCGGGCACTGCACCGGGACCCCGAGACACATAAGCGTTTGTTCCTTCCCTGTGGTCGCCGGCGCCGCACGGCCCGCACGGACGGAGCGAGCGGCCCGCGGAGCCCGGAGAGGAGCCCTGCCCATTATCTTATCCACAGCTGTGATCGCTTGTCGTGGTGCGGTTTTCGCTCCGCCAGAGGGACGTCTCCAAACAACGGGTTTTCGTATCGCCGTGGGTAGCAGTGCCCGTCAAGTCCGTCGTCACCACAATAGAAAGCCAAAAAATAATAATTTAAAAGTGGTCTTTTTTTTTGATTTTTTTCTGATATTTTCGCGTTGTTTTTATTTACCTTTTAGAGGGGGGGAGGGCCGGGGGGTGCAAACATCATATTGATTACTGACTTTGACCTGCTCTGCGGTATTTTCACTCGTTGATGGCCTGCGGCTTCTTTCCTTTCAAATAACTCATTCCGTGGTCACGTGAGTGGAGCGGAGTGAGAGGGCGGGGCATGCCACACCGTCATCAGCAATTAGCGCCCCGAGGACCCCTTCAACGTCAGGCTCCGTTCACCTTCCCGTTAACCGCATCCGACAGTTCACCTCCTTTTCCTTAACAAAACGCCGCACAAACACATACACACACACACACACACGAGCGGAGGTACCGTGCTATTTTCTGATCAGGCTGTACGGTATGCAGGCAAACGGGTGGGCGGGCTTATTGCCTACCGTCACCTTATAGGGCGCCGAGCAAGTAGGCAACCACCCACTTCCCTGACAGCTGGTATGGTGCACCTTTAAAAAAAAATAGGGTGTCTTCATGCATAGCATGTTGTTGTTTGCTGGCCATCATTGTAACATAGTTTTCTGGATGGACTCGGGAGACTTTAACGCACTCCACCTTGTGAAGCGGATTTTTCATGCTTACATTGGCATGACAACTTATAAGGAAAATTCTCTGATAATAATGCAATAGAAAGCATGAGGAAAGTACCACACAAGGCTAAAGCCATGGCGTGCACGTGGTAGTAAACGATCCTGAAACCCATCATGTCGAATGTATATGACGAGGCTGTCACGTTTTTTTTACGACTCAGAGTTGTTAACGGCTGCAGCCGTCAGCGGCGCGCCAATTGTCACACCTGCTCCAGAATGACCGCCAAAAATACTACTGAGGAGCAAACCGAATGTTTGGCTAAACAGAGAGAAAAATGTGAATGTGTTAATCTTATGGTTTGAGCCAGGTCGGTGCGGTAGCGCGGGAATGCCGGGCAGGCATACCAACCGCCAATCTCAACGAGGACTGCACTTGTCGTTACAGCGTTGCCAACGTTGCCACACCGCTGTGCGCCCATTCCTGCCGTCACTCTGGCAACATGTCCTCCGCAAAAATTAAATGAAATTAAGGAAAGGTCGTTTGTTTGTTTTGCTGAACCATTTTGGTCCATACTGTTTTCATTACATTTTAAAAAATCTTAAAACAATCTAGCATTGTAGCATTAAAAACAACCTAACCGACATTTTTGACATTTATTATAAAATAATCGTCAATGAAACATTATTATGATGGAATTAGCACAAAAAGCAAACGACACGACAAGTAACAACTGTTACTCATATATTTCTACCACAATAGTTGGTATTATTTGCTGTTACCTTTCTTTTTTCTCGCTGATCTGCTTTGGCATCGCATTCCAGGCATTCCTGGCCAGGCGCCCCTCCACACCCCTTTCAGAACAACTTCGGGCAGTAACTAGAGCCTGGAGTTCATGAGCGACTGGGAGCGACTGTAGGCGCTGTAGGCGCCCCTCCTCATCCCTTTCAGAACAACTTCGGACAGTAACTAGAACTAGCGCCAGAGGAGTTCGGGAGCGACTGTAGGCGCTCCTCCACAGCCCCTGCGTTTCAACTTGGGACAGTGTGACGAAAGCAATGGAGTACAGTTGCGACTGTAATGTAGGAGTTTCTCAACAACCCCTTCAGAATAATTTTCTGTCAGAGAGCTGTTTCTATTTATTTAGTATGTTCCTCAAGGCGATTAAAATATGGGCACTGCGTAAGCAGAGAGTTGCATCGCTGCTGCCGTTCCGAAAGATCCGACTCTGCATACGGAAACGCAGTGCAGTGCAACCCCTCGCTTGACGTGATGTGGCGCTGTGTTTCCGCGGGACGGTGAGAAGAAGCGGACGAGCCCGAGGAGGTAGTCTGGCCTAGGTACCCTAGGTGCACAACTGCGCCGGTGCGCCGCGGGCCACTACCCGGGCCGGGCCGGCCTGCTGCGCTAGCGCTGCGCCAGCCGTGCTGTGCCGTGCACCGTTACCAAGACGCTGAAAAGTTCAATGGTCGGCGTTAGGTTTCGGCGTGAAGTGGCGTAGCGCGGCGTGGCGCGCGGCCGGGGGAAGGGCTGCGGGGCGACTGCTCGCTCGTGGGAGGCGGTAGTGGTGGCGCGGTCCACTAGGCGTCAGTGCCTGAATAAGAGCGTCACAGGGCGGGGGAGGAGAGGAAAACCGTACGTGAATGGGTTTCTGAACGTTTCTACGAGAGGACACAGTTTCCTATCCATTGTTCACAAGCGGTAGTATTTGCCGAACACACGGGCCATATTAACAAAAGTAAATCAGCGGACCACTTGCGTTCGTCATCACTCGGCCACCCCTCGTGACATCCAGATCTGTGATGATGCATCTGCATTGTTTTATTGTTTTCTAATGTTTTTAGTAGGCTATTGGTTGCGTTCGGGAGGGGGGGGGGGGTGTCTACACTCTAAATGTCTCAGGACAATTATTGCAGATTTGATAGATTTGGACACATCTTGTAACTAACAGTACACATTTAGTGACCAAGCTCGTCATGCACTGAAGTATGCTTCACACAAAAATTGCCCTTAGACAGTACATTTGATGCTGCCCACCCACGCCCATCCTCGATTTGTTCCACAAACCAGGACCTCTCCCCCTCCCCCTTTCCCCCGAACCTTGCCTCGGACGCGTCCTGAGAGAGCGAGGCAGGCTCGCGGTGGAGGCACGGCGGGCACGGCGGGCACGGCGGGCACGGCCGCGGCGGGTCATTGTTTTCCGGAAATCGGAGGAATCGCGTGTTCTCTTACCCGGCCTGCTCGGCGTGCTGGGAGAGGACCGAGAGCCGGTGTGCCGGCCCGCGCCGCGCCACGCATACCTCACTCAAGTCTCCGCGCCTCGCCTATGGCCTCGCCCCGCCGCTCGGGATGCAGCGGTCTTGACCCGTTAGCATGTCAAGGGTTGCACGGCACAAAACAACATGCAGAAAGGAAACACGTTTGATCAAAACTTCCACACCAAACCCCTATAAAACCTTATGCCGGTATATTCCGTTTCAGGGATCCGTAACTTAACGAATCTAAGTTATCCATGTGCTCCAAGACACATCTAACCTACGTACAGAATTTGTCCCTCCTTATTTAGAGTGTGCTCGGCACGCCGCAACTGACAGAGGCAAGTCGCGTCTCCTAACGGAACCATCCCTAGGCCGGGGGCCAAAGCCCTGCCGTGCGGCCCCGGCGCCTAGAAGAGAGCTCCCATCAGAGAGAGGAGAGACAGACAGAGAGAAAGAGAGAGGCTGCAAACCGAATCGTGCCCCTCGATTCATCCTGCCGCGTGATATCTTTGGCACTCTCGGCCCGCCCAGCCGCCCGGTACCCGGCCCACATCAAAAGAATGAGCGCGCTACTACAGTACTACTGGAAAAAAACGACCCAGATCACTACCGCAACCACACCCATTTTCTTTCATCTGTAGCCGACTTTATTTTGGAGGGTTTTTATCGAGAGCAAACAGAAAATCTACTTATCTCATTGATCAAGGCCGAGGGATTGGATTATGCATATTTGTTTTACGCGTATCGTGTGAAGTGGCCAAAAGATAACCGCCGTTTCCGAAAAAAAATAATCCAGAAAACATGTATTGTAATATGAAGTATCCATGGAATTGAAAATAAGTGATGCTGGACAGTAAACTGTGTGCGAAAAGCAAATGTAAAAAAATACAAGGGACAAGTTTAAATGTCCTACCGCAAAGCAGAACGCTCGCCTCGACCGTGACAAGGTCACTACTACACAACAGACTGTACGATTTTTTTCGTGTGTGTGTATATGAGTGTGTCAGCTTCCGTTCCGCTAGCACGCGCCATGCCGTTTGCTACACTGTTTTAAATGATTGCCTTTTATTTTCACCTTTTAAGAAGCGCGTTAACGTGCCTTTACTCTCTTAATATCTAATGGCAATTATGGTAAGTAGCACCGAACTTCTGTGAGCGAAACTCAGTCAACATGTCAACATACGATATTTAACTAAAACTACATTTAGTAAATAGCTAGTTACAATAGTAAATGATCTCATCAGCGATAGTGTGGACACAAGAAACGTACTTCCCATAATATAAGTTAAACATTAGATCGGTACCACATCGAAATCTTACTTACAATCTGATTTAGATGTGCACAAAGACACGTCAGTTCTACTGAATTTTGTGGACTTCTGTTGAGAAGATAATGCTCACGCGCATCGCGCGAGAATGAATAAGACTGAAAAACGAAAATGAGAAAAAGGCTCGTGTGATAATCGATGGCATCAGGATTCGAACTCGCGAGCGAAACCGGTACCGCAGAGATGGTACGATTATGCCGTCCCTCCTTCAAAGAGACCACAGCGGAGACTAGGCGTCCTTCTCTTTTTTCTCTACTTGTTGTAATTCACGCTTGACTGTGTATTGCTTGGACGGTCGCGTCGAATATTGAAACCGCTGAAACGAGTCAAAATAATTGCGTCCAGCAGGCACCGTTACTATTCGTTCATACTTTCTTTGGCACGCGAGGAGGGGAGTCCACCCAAGGGGATGGTCGGTACAGATTCATAGAAAAGTCATTACCAGAGGTAGTCCCCGGTGCGGACGGCAGGGTCCAAAATCCAATGTATCCTCAGGAGATCGTGCACTCTACCACACAGCACAAAGTAACATTAGGTATCCATTCAGCGTCACACTGGCACTAACACTGTAATCCAGAGGTTGTTGCTTCACGTACACAAACACACACACACACACACACAAACACGCGCGCGCGCGCGTCCGCGATCGAACGGATGAACAGACGTAGACGGACGGACGGACGGACGGAGGGACGCGTCGCGCGGCGACCAACCTGCGTGGACGGCGGCCGGGGCGGCACTGGCGCGCGGCAGGTAGGCAGGTAGGCCCGTGGAACACCCGCGCCCCGTTCCGCTGGCCGGCGCTGGCTGCGCGGGCTTGCGGCCTGTGGCGGGGCGGGGTGCGGCGGGGCGAGGTGGCGCGGCGCGGCGAGCCGGGGCGAGGAGGCTGCGAGTTGCGGCGGGGGGCGCCCGCGACTCTAGCGGAGTCCCTCCTTCGCCTCCTCTTCCCCCCGTTCATCCTTTCTCCCTTTCCTCCTCCTCCTTTCTACCTCCGTCTCTCGCGCCCCGCACGGTGCGGCTATCCTCGCCGCCCTCTCGTCTTTCCGTCTCCCTCTTTCATTTATTTCGCCTTGGAGATCGGCAGGCATCTAGCTGCTTCTGTGGTTCCAGCCAGCTCCCTCCAGGCCGGCGGCTCGGCTCCAGGTGGCGGCTCCAGGCGCTGCTCCAGGGCCCGCTCGGTTTGCAGTGGGAGCCTGGGACTTTCCCTTTAACGTACTGCAAGCATCGCTATGCACTCGTCTCACGGTTCAACTCCATCCACGACCCCCTTCTTTCTTTCTTTCTTTCTTTCTTTCTTTCTTTCTTTCTTTCTTTTTCTTAGTCCGTTCCTGTGACTTATTCAAGTTGTCATTGCCTGTGTCGCATGCGCCATGGAGCCGTGGGCTCGCCCATACAGCTCGTTCGGTCATTGAGGGCGGCGCAGGGCGTGAGCCGTGCTGGGAGGGAGGGA